AAAGGCTCTGCTTAAAGAAAGAATTCTGGCGTACTTTACTCTTAACCAGAACCATCTGGAAGCAATTTTGCATTCACACGATGGACTTCTCCTCGTCTTTGGCCCTCGCTCTCAACAAATCCCATCAGCCCAGGAACAGCTGCTGGAGAATCTGGCCTGACGCCAGGGGTGAAGCTACAGCGCCCTCCCTTGTCCTGCCAGGGCCCCGGCTTGCTCATCACCCCACGCGGCTGGACACAGAGCACGAAGAACACAGATCCTTCACAAGAAAGCGAAATCACCAGCGGTCACAGGAGCAGGGACTCGGTGCCACAAAGCCAGCTGTGAGAAACTGTTGTTTCAGCCCCGTAACACAGACGCCTGCCAGCAAATTACGGCCTGAGACGGCTCAGAGGGCCGTGGGTCTGGACACTCTGCTCATAACGCCAGCTAGTGTGCATCCTGCAACAGCAGCTCCACACAAAGGGCCAGGGAGGAAGGGCAGTGGCTCGCGTCGAGTCCAAGGCCAGAGTTCTGGCGCCAGGACCAATGACACCAGGCACAGAAAGCGAGAGCTGGGACGCGTCAGGGAGCCACTCAGCACTGGGGGCGCCGTTAGAAAATGCCTTTGTAAATCAAGCCACTGTGTAAACTACCTGAGCAGGCTGGGAAAGGGTTAGGGTTAGGAGCCAGGTGAGCGATGGATTTCATTAGGAAGGTCCTGGTGGCGATAACCTTTTGTCCTCTGTGCAACCTGGGCCTGCCAAGCTGCTCCACAGTCTCCGAGAAAGCGTGAGGGTGGGAGAGAAAGGATCCCCGTCAGGAGGCAACAGGCTCATCCTTAATTATGAGAAGAGGCTTCCCAGAGCCGACACCCTCCCCCTCACTGCCTCCGGGCTGCAGACACACCGCAGAAAGCTGGCAAGGTGCTCCTCTAATGAGAGCGATCGATTTTCCTAAGTAAAGGAGATTCGGTTCTTTGGGGATCTTCCCCATAATCACCACGTGGCCCCAGTCCACGCACAGACTTTAGCGACGAGTGGGAAGCATCACCGTTTAATTTGGCCAATGGTCCATCAGGTCAGACCGGGAACTAGAAAAGTTACTACCTTAGCAGCTCCTGAAATGCCTCATTCCATCCTCCTGTCCTCTAAAGGACTGTCAAGGAGACACTGATCCTGGTAGATGGAGGTCCCCTGCTTAAACTTCCATCGCAGCTCAGAACTGAATAATTATGTCTGATATTACCCGAAAAAAAAAAAAAAAAGCTGATGCATTGTATCAGAAAGAGCCCCAGGCTAAAGGTCAGAAACCTGGGTTATTCTGACATTTTCGCACTAGTGGAAGCTGAGTAAACCACTTAATCCCCTCTGAGCCTCAATTTGCTCAACTGCAAAATGGAACGAGGAGGAGGAATCACTGGGCATTTGGCAGTTCAGCCTGAAGTGAGGCTGTCTGGGGTCACAGACTGGCTTCTCCTCTTACTAGTTGTGTGACCTTGAGCAACTGGGCCCCTGTGCCTCAGTTTCCTCATCTGTAAAATGTACCTAGTTCCTAGGACTGTCCAGCATGAAGAGTCATGTAAAGGTCTCATCACAGTGCCTGGCCCTTAGCTCTCCCACTCACTGTCAGCCAGCCCCACGATTAGTGGGGGACAAGCAGGCAGATAAAAATTTCCACAACTAGGTCTTTGCTACAAGGGTTCAACAGTTGGCAATAGGTGAACCCCTATTTGTTAGAAAGGTTTCAGAGACACAAGCTCACAGGCCAAGGCTAATTCGGAAGGCAAGAAACGTAACGGAGGGACGAGGTAAGGCCTCATCTGTCTCCTTGAGCGCGACACACTGCCAATACTCACCAGTCCTCCTTCAACCAATCCCAACAGCTTGGTAGTAATTTGAGGCTTTTGTGGGAAAAGGGACCCTGCTGATCCATTTGCCAGCTCTTCTCTCTCTATACACAACTCGGAAAGGTAGGAAATTGGGAGCCCATGTTTCTTCAGCCCTCAAAAATAACTGCTAGATTTCAGGTTTTCTGTTAGAGGTTAAAAACATTTTTTAGGGCTTCCCTGGTGGCGCAGTGGTTGAGAGTCCGACTGCCGATGCAGGAAACGCGGGTTCGTGCCCAGGTCCGGGAAGATCCCACATGCCGCGGAGCGGCTGGGCCCCTGAGCCATGGCCGCTGAGCCTGCGCGTCTGGAGCCTGTGCTCCGCAATGGGAGAGGCCACAACAGTGAGAGGCCCGCGCACCGCAAAAAAAAACACACAAAAAAACATTTTTTAAAACAACTCATTAAAGTTGGGAGGGGGTGTGTGTGTGCGTGTGTGTGTGTGTAGGCAGTGGTCTAAATTGGTTTTAAAATTCCCAACTTCTTCCAACAAAGATGTAAACGGCTCTCCTTTTCCTTAAGCATCATTTTCAAATCATAAGTAACAACAGATAGGAAATACACAAAGACGTACATCAATCTCTGCTCGCAGCCGAAGCTGTGAGCCAAAAGCCATGCAGGGAACTCTGCTGCAACAAATGAGCAAATCATGTCTGACTGAAGCCATTCTCAGTCTTGGCTTCTCAGTTAATTCGGTACCTTCTGCAGAGTTCCATACAATTAAAGAGAGCCCATTTATGGGCTATTTACTCGCTTAAGACCCCGCTGTGTGTTTGTGTGCACGTACCTGAGATAGAGAGCAAAAGAGAGAGTAACTGTGTGCCTATAACGTTGGATGTAATCTAATCCCTGAACTTATCTGCATTTTAAAAAACTGTAAAAAGGGGTAATCTTTAGCCATTTGTTTACCAAGTTGGTTTTGACTGCTGAGATCTCATGTGCCTTTTTGGCATAGAAAAACATACAAACAGCCTTGCCTCGAGCTCAACACGGCTCGTGTGCAGGCTCTTCATTCCTACCCTTCCCACTGACCACCTACACGTCGGCCTGCCCCCCACCAACTTCTGTGGATCGCACTCTTCCTTTCATCCAAAAAACAAACACGGCCTGTCGACTACATGTCGGGCACAGGACGAGGCACTGGGCTGCCCCACAGGGGGCTTACAGACTAGTATAATTCGAGTAATTGATGACTTACCTCTTACATTTATCCCTTGGCCTAAGTCATCTGGTTTCTTGTTCATTTCCGTGGCCTTCTCTGTTTTCTGCTTCCATCCCTCTATTTGGCTCTAGGGGTCTCACATACATATTTGCTATGACAGTTTTTCTCCGGGTACCTGAATCTGCTTTCTCTTCTGGTCTGTCTCCTTCAAACTCCTCTTACAGCAAGCTTCCTACAACATTGCTTTCATCATTTCATTCTCCGCCGAAACACACAAGAGTGACTTGCAGCCTCCCACAGTAAATCCTAATGTCTCTGCCTGGCTTCCCATATTCTGATACATTCCCTTGGTACCAACTCAGACTAATTTCCCACAGCCGCTCCCCCCACCCCCACCCCCCAATTTTGGCCATTTCCCACGCTGTCTCTTAGATCTGCTCTTTTGGTGTTTACAGTCACGTGGGTTCCTACCCTGGGATGCCTTTCCTTTCATCTTTCCAAATTCTACAAAAACCAGACCAAACTCTGCCACGGTTTTCTGAATTACACAATCCTTCACCTTAAACTTTTCTGTAAGGAGTGCTGACTTTGCTGACTGAATAAAAATGAATTTGCAAGAAAACCCAGCCTGGGGCAACAAAACTCCAGAACTCAGAGCTGCAAATATGGTGAACCCTTTCCGATAAATCCGATCACGTTTTAGAGCAGGGGTAAATATTTTAGGCTCTGCTGCAACCACTCAACTGCCCTGCTGTTGTATGAAGGCAGTGACAGATCAAACATAAACAAATGAGCGTGGCTGTACTTTTAACACTTATTTACGGAAAGGGGTGGGGGGTGGAATTTGGCTCTCAGGCCGTAACTTGCTGACCCTTTTCTAGAAGAAGAGAGGATACTGGTGAGGACCTTCTCTTTAGATGGCAAAGGACAACCGGACGTGCCTTAGATCAGCCTCTGATCCTCCCGAGTGGCTCGACTGTCTCTTTAAGACAGTACGTACCCTAGGAGTAGATTCCCAGCCTAGAAGTCATCACCATGGGAATTTGGGCTGTGACCATCTGTTATAGCTATTCCGGTCAAAGAAGAAGAGAGAGTGGAATTTACTTTGTCACCTGTGTTGGGGACGTGGTGAGGAAAGAGGCCACTGTTTCCTTCTGCTGACCTCCAGCCTGGCAGGAGGCTCCCTGGTCCTAGAGCAAATCTTCACCTACACTTCTTTGTGCCAGGCACTGCTCTCTCATTTCATCCTTACACCAACCCTATGAGATTTAAGTACTTTATCATCATATCTATTTTTCAGTTGGAAGAAACTGATGAGGTCTTAGTCAGCGTTAGCTACTGACACACACACAAACGGTTTTGGTGCCTTATATCGGTGTGTTTGGGGAATAAGATGCCCCTTGCCACGAGTTCTTATTTTGATATGAATGTGATGAAATCATGAGGACAGCTCATTACCTCTGGTGCTTACTATCACCCTTCAAAGAGTATTCTTTTCATTTTATTCATGGGAAATGGCACTCATAGGGGTTAAGTAGTTTATCCAACTTTGCCTATTCAGAAAGGTCAGAGTTATGATTCAAATCTAAACTGGTCTGGCCAAACAGAGCTCCGGTTCATTCCTCCGAGCCCCGCTACCTCTTTAGTAACCCTAACCTAAAAACCCAAGTCTAATGTGTTTTTAAAAGCCCCCCAATGCTTGCTCTGTGTGAAGTGAGGAATTACATCAGCTTCGTGGGTCTAGTGTCCCCAAGGAGGGCCTCAGAGAGCAGGAAAGCAAACCAACACCCAGATGGGAGATGGCGCCCAGGCGAAAGCAGCAGAAGTGGGCGTAGCCCCTTTTCCTTCCCCACAAACCCAGGTCTCTGGCTGCACCTCCTGATCCAAAGTGCGGAAGTGGCTTTTTACGGTGGTGGCGCTTCCTTCACACACGCTGCAGCAGTGCCAAGGCAGAGGGAGGCGTGTTCTTACCAGCCTGTCATATTAAAATCCCTGTAGAGCATCTTCTTCCCAAGTTCCTTTCTCTGTACTCTCCTTGGAAACTCCAAATGTGTGAACTCATTTCCCAGCAAGTGAGGCTGCATGAATGCCTAATAGCAAAAAGAAAAGAGAAGGAAAAAAAAAAAAAAAACCCACACATATTTAGAGGAAAAAATAAGACCCAAGGATGTTTTGCAAATTGAGACAGCCCACATTTCAGAAACAAGAACACTGTTCTCAAATTTTAAGGGAGATAAATAGATTGAAGACTCTAAATACAAATAGAATATCAACAAATAAAAATTATGAATCTAATTTATAAAGGGATGTGACTTTTTCATTGGAGATGGTAAAACTAATGGTAAACAAAGACGTGTATCTCTCAAGCAAGGAAAAGGTTCACTTTTTAATTCAAATTCAAGATGGTTTCACTTGGGCTGAATGGCACGGTGAGGAGGTTTGAAAGCTCCCCCTGACTCTCTCCTCCTTGGCTTTCTCTGCTGGCCTCCTATTTGTACGCCTAGTTATTGGGCCTGGCCTCTGAAAGCTGCATGTGGGTCTCCATGTCAACACAATGGCCTGAGAGAGTGGAGCGGGTCGGGACTGGATGCACCAGACAGGAACTTACTGTTGGACTCCCTCCATTTTGTTCTGCAGTAATTCGATCATGTAATTGGAAGACTGTTCCAGAACAGATGGCTTCTTCCCCTCCCCCAAATCTCTGTTCACACTACAAAAGTCTTGAGCAAACAGCCACTTAGGGAATTGCTTTGAAACAACAAACAGTCTCATTGTCACACTCAAAATTCAAATCCAGTTATCCAAGAGATGAAATGCTCAGGTATGGACTTCCCTGCTCAGAGGCCACACACTGTAAGCAGACCTGCCCCAGAGCCAGCCCATACCAAGCCGTATACCTGCTTATTAGCAGTGTACTGGAATGGATCTTCTCTCGCTCTCTTCTCTTTCTGGCAGGAAAGAGAGTGGGTGGAGCAAATCACGGCCTGGCACCGTAGGAAAGCCAGGGCTCCCTGCCATAGGACAGATGGCCATATCCTCGGTCTCCTGAAAAAGGGCATCTCCCACAGCCTCTTTCCCCCAGGACCTGACGCTGGCACATCTCCCACTGATTCTCATGGTGGTCTGGAGGTCTCAGCTGGATACTAGTCATCAGAAGCTAAGCGCATCAAGAGTCAAAAGAAGCAAGCTGAACTGTCCCCAGGCTGGTCAGATTGGACCAGCTAAAAGAAGTCTGAGCCAGTGATGCTGGGCAGGCTTTGGGGACAGGATGGGACAGGACTGAGAATGAGAAGAGGGGCTCTCCTGCCTGCTGTAACCAACAGGTTCCAGGTCGGAGGGGAATTCCGGATCATCTTCGAGGGGCCCTGAAACCTCTGCTGGGGATGAGGCTTGGGCTGCCTATGGGTATCAAGGACACTTAAACACTGGGTTTTACAGAGAAGTTCCTTGGGGAGGGAGGGAGGGAGGAAGGGAACTAATATTCATAGCGCAGGTCAATGGGGTAGACTTTGGGTGAAACTTCGGGTTTGAATCCAAGCTCTGAATTTATAAGCTGTGTGATTTTAGTGGGTGATTTAACTGCTTGGGCCTCAGTCTCTTTACCTGTACATTGAGATTAACTGCAGATTTATCTCATACTGTACTAACAATGAATGAAATGACATCTAGAGTGCACTTATCATGATTGTCTCTGCTCGTAAAAAGAAAATAATTTATCCCTCTAGTAATTATGGAGCCCTATTACATCCTGAGTACTACAGTAAGTATTTCTTGAGCTCTCATTGCACACCCACGCCAACCTTATGGGCGGGACTGGCTACCTAATCTGTGGGGCCCAGTGCACAAGGAAAATATGGAGCCTCTATTCAAAATTAAAAATTTCAGGAAGGTGACAGCAGAGCATTAAACCAAGTGCAGGGCCCTGGGCAAGTGCACAAGTCATGCCCACAAACCCAGACGTACTTACAGAGTAAATACCATTTTATTCCTCTCCCTTATTTTGGTCCACCCATGAAAACTAAGGACCAGAGGCATTAACAGTCAATGAACAGCAGCATTTTTATGTACCCTCAATCATCCCTCAGAACTTTGGGACTGAATTAACATGGCGTTTTTGTCTACCACCTCCCGCCCTCCAAGCTGGAGTGACACTGATTTAGGGGTTACCATGTGTCAGGCACTTGATACACCTTATGTTATTACCTCAACAATCCTACAAAGCACATGTCATAGACTCAATTTACAAAGGAGGAAACTAAGGTCCAGAGAGGTTAAGACACTAGCCCAAGTCTATCAGCCAGGAATGGGTGGTTCTAGAGCTTAAGCTTAATATCAAACCCATAACCCCCATCTTAACCCTTATGTTGGCCCTTTAACCTGCACACATTTACAAAAAACAGTAAGTGGGCAACAACAGGCCTGTGATCCATGACAAGTATGAACCACAAATAGGCACCCATGACGATCCAGTTAACAAAAATTTACAGATCTGCACACAACTTGGCCATAAGGATGTTCCTCAAGTAGAGAGAAGAAATCATTTAATAATATGAGGGATTAAACTAGCATAAATCCATACAAAAGAATTTTGTGCAATCACATACAAAGGTGTTATACAGAATATGTAATTACACAGAAAGAGCTGATCTATTTGTGAAAAACAGCATATCAAACGTGTCTGTGAGTGTGCAAGTGTATGAGCTTACGTGAATCGTGTCATATATATACACAGATCTATGTAGGACACACGTATACATAAATGAGTATGCATGTGTATAAACATAGGTACACAATACACATATACATTACATAACACACAGGTTAGGATGCAAAGGCCATTCCTAAGTACATTTTGTACCCTCGTGCCCTTTCTGCTGGAATACATTTGCCTGGGCAGTTGTACCAGGAGAAGTCTGCAGGGTAGCTGGGAACTCCCCAGCAGCTTGCTGTGTGCAGGGGCCACCTCGCCTCTCCTTCTGGGGATGGGAAGCCTCAAAGGGGCCTTGAACCGTGTGTCACCTGTGACATCCGCTGCCCCTTCACATGCAGAGCCTTTCAGGGCCTCAACAAAACTCCTGCTTCTCCCCTTGTAACAACAGGCTACCGTATTTCATCAGTTCTAAGATGCCCTTTATTAGATGCGCCATTATTTTGTTACCTCTAAGGAAGGGCAAAAAAAGCTGCCAATTAAACGATGCACGGTGCTTTCTTTACCACTTCAAATTTTTAATTTATTATTTTTGAAAGAACTCCTTTAGATGTAGACAAAATTCTATTATCTATCACTATTGTGCATATTTAGGAAGGAATATATAAGTGCAGTGTATCGGTTAAGATTGTTCCAAAACGTTTTCACGTTTAGAATCCAATGGCACTCAATGCTTTCCAACTCTGAATCATCCCATGTTCGTGATTTTCCACACAAGAGCGGGCTGTGTTTCAGGGGTGCACTGGTCATGCAGCATTTCTTAAACAACCCACAGAAGAACTGTAAGACAGAAGCCAGCTTTGCAACCTTCCAGAGCCCACTTGCTTCTGACTCCCTCTTCGGGAATGTGGCTGAGCAAGTCTGGTCACTCCTCCCCAAGCCCCTCTGCATGACCAGTTGCATCCAAAATGTGCTTCACTTCTGTCTGCAGGGTTTTCCTTCAAGCTGCTGGATGCCAGTCCTGAAGTTGTGGTGCTGCTCTTTTGATGTTTGCTCATGCTTAGGAGATGACAGCCATGTCATGCCTGCCACCTGGCTGACAGCAACAATCAACTGTAAAATATCCCAACTTCAAGTATGTCAAAAGGTAAGAGGAAAAAGCGTGCCCTAGCTCTGAGGAATTATTGTGATATTCATCCCCCATTGATACGGATGTCACACCCTTGGATTTCTCTCTCTTTGTGGTATTTTTCTTCCTCTGGCTGGTTGCCACAGCACATTTCACATCTTACATGACACATTTTCCATTACAGTCAGGCCCACCACAGAATGCATGTGTATTCCATGTGTACCTAGGACATATCCCACCATGACATATTTTTACACTGCTTTAAAATCACCATCTGCAGTAAAGTAGCAGGATACAAAATTAATTCACAGAAATCTTTTGCATTCCTATACACTAGTGATGAAAAATCTGAAAAGTGAAATTAAGAAAACACTCCCATTTACCACTGCAACAAAACCTACCTAAGGAGACAAAAGACCTGTATGCAGAAAATTACAAGACACTGATGAAAGAAATTAAAGACGATACAAACAGATGGAGAGATATACCATGTTCTTGGATTGGAAGAATCAACACTGTGGAAATGACTATAGCACCCAAAGCAACCTACAGATTCAATGCAATCCCTATCAAACTACCACTGGCATTTTTCACAGAACTAGAACAAAAAATTTCACAATTTGTATGGAAACACAAAAGACCGTGAATAGCCAAAGCAATCTTTTTTAAGAAAAACGGAGCTCGAGGAATCAGGCTCCCTGACTTCACACTATACTACAAAGCTACAGTAATCAAGACAGTATGGTACTGGCACAAAAACAGAAATATAGATCAATGGTACAGGATAGAAAGCCCAGAAGTAAACCCACACACGTATGGTCACCTAATTTACGACAAAGGAGGCAAGAATATACAATGGAGAAAAGACAGCCTCTTCAATAAGTGGTGCTGGGAAAACTGGACAGCTACATGTAAAAGAATGAAATTAGAACACTCCCTAACACCATACACAAAAATAAACTCCAAATGGATTAAAGACCTAAATGTAAGGCCAGACACTATCAAACTCTTAGAGGAAAACAAAGGCAGTACACTCTATAACATAAATCACAGCAAGGTTCTTTTTGACCCACCTCCTAGAGAAATGGAAATAAAAACAAAAATAAACAAAAGGGACTTAATTAAACTCAAAAGCTTTTGCACAGCAAAGGAAACCATAAACAAGACAAAAAAACAGCCCTCAGAATGGGAGAAAATATTTGCAAATGAAGCAACTGACAAAGGATTAAGCTCCAAAATTTACAAGCAGCTCATGCAGCTCAATATCAAAAAAACAAACAACCCAATCCAAAAATGGGCAGAAGACCTAAATA